CTGATGCTGCCAAGTGGCCCAGCGTAGCAAATGCAACGCTTGCAGCTTGCATCAGGTAGGTCTTTTGTAGATCAGGATAGCAATGGAAGCCTTGGCTGAAAGCTTCCATCGCTATGGCCTTTTCAAACATCAAGCGCCGAGCCCATCGGAACGCCGGCGAGAAAGCCGACGAGCCTCGAGCGGGGCCAAAGTCCGAAGGATCTTGCCAGAGGATTCCGTTTATCCAAAGATCTTCGTATCACAACAGATCCACTCCAATCAAATAATAATAGCGTTCCTAGGAAGGTTGCATGCCTCAAGCTGCTTATTGTTTCACATTGATGCAGAAACTCTGGTTTTCCCCAAGCGGGAAACTCCTCTATCGCCGCCCTGAGGCGCAGGCAGCAGCAACCCACAGCTGGAGATGTCCAAACAAAGCCAGCACTTCACCTCATGCTCCTTTCCACAGTGTCGCCAATGGTATATCACCTGAGCGTGGGAAGAGGCAAGGCCAAGGCCAGGCGTTTCATATGCGGCATTGAGGACATGACAGCTGTAGCTTTTGTGTGTGTGTGTGTGTGTGTGTCCAAGCGCCGCCGGGGTGCCGAAATCGTGAAAGTCAGCAAGCTGGCCAAGAAGAAGCTAGCCACCTTGTAGCAACGGAGTGCAAGCATGCAAGCGAGCACACGATGGCACTGAAAAAACCATGATTGAATGGTCCTAACAAGACTCCTTCTGATTCGAAAGAACACGGCAGTTTGATTGGAACCTGCAGGTGATTCCTGCGCACAGGTGACTCGACTTGTCCAATTTCAGCGGAAGGTCATCCCGAGAACAGGAACCCACGCTGACTGAGTCACCCCACTCCAGCAGTATAAAGCTGCAATGCACCTGGGCCAACCTCAAGCTGGAAGGCGTCTGAGTTTTGTTTTGGCATTTGGGGCACTGTCTCTCATGAAGGAAAGCAGTGCGATCTCGCCATGAGCCGCCAACATGATTTTGAGCCGAACACTCCGAACTCGGGGGGGGGAGCAAGGAGGCGATTTGCAGGGCACGGCCTTGTGTCATCGAGGCTTGTCCTGCCAGAATTGCGGCCAAATGGCAGGCGCGCTCCCGCGCCACCAGTACACAAAGCGGAAAATGGTAAAAGCCTCGGCTTCGCCGGGGACTTTATGTCTCTGTTCCATGGACCGCTTCACTTCTATGTGCCATGGGCGGCTTCACTTCTATGTGCCATGGACAACTTCACTTCTCTGTTCCATGGACCGCTTCACTTCTATGTGCCATGGACGGCTTCACTTCTATGTGCCATGGACCACTTCACTTCTCTGTTCCATGGACCGCTTCACTTCTATGTGCCATGGACGGCTTCACTTCTATGTGCCATGGACCACTTCACTTCTCTGTTCCATGGACCGCTTCACTTCTATGTGCCATGGACCACTTCACTTCTCTGTTCCATGGACCACTTCACTTCTATGTTCCATGGACCGCTCTACTTCTATGTGCCATGGACGGCTTCACTTCTATGTGCCATGGACCACTTCACTTCTCTGTTCCATGGACCACTTCACTTCTATGTTCCATGGACCGCTCTACTTCTATGTGCCATGGACGGCTTCACTTCTATGTGCCATGGACCACTTCACTTCTCTGTTCCATGGACCGCTTCACTTCTATGTGCCATGGGCGGCTTCACTTCTATGTGCCATGGACCACTTCACTTCTCTGTTCCATGGACCGCTTCACTTCTATGTGCCCTGGACGGCATCACTTCTATGTGCCATGAACCACTTCACTTCTCTGTTCCATGGACCGCTTCACTTCTATGTGCCATGGACGGCTTCACTTCTATGTGCCATGGACCACTTCACTTCTCTGTTCCATGGACCGCTTCACTTCTATGTGCCATGGACGGCTTCACTTCTATGTGCCATGGACCACTTCACTTCTATTTGCCATGGACCGCTTCACTTCTCTGTTCCATGGACCGCTTCACTTCTATGTGCCATGGACCACTTCACTTCTATGTTCCATGGACCACTTCACTTCTATGTTCCATGGACCGCTTCACTTCTATGTTCCATGGACAACTTCACTTCTATGTGCCATGGACCACTTCACTTCTATGTTGCATGGGCCACTTCACTTCTATGTTCCATGGACCACTTCACTTCTATGTTCCATGGACCACTTCACTTCTATGTTCCATGGACCACTTCACTTCTATGTTCCATGGACCACTTCACTTCTATGTTCCATGGACCGCTTCACGTCTACGTTCCATGGACCACTTCACTTCTATGTTCCATGGACCGCTTCACTTCTATGTGCCATGGACCACTTCAATTCTATGTTCCATGGACCACTTCACTTCTATGTTCCATGGACCGCGTCTCTTCTGTGTTCCATGGACCACTTCACTTCTATGTTCCATGGACCACTTCACTTCTATGTTCCATGGACCACATCACTTCTGTGTTCCTTGGACCACTTCACTTCTATGTTCCATGGACCGCTTCACTTCTATGTTCCATGGACCGCTTCACTTCTATGTGCCATGGACCACTTCGCTTCTATGTTGCATGGGCCACTTCACTTCTATGTTGCATGGGCCACTTCACTTCTATGTTCCATGGACCACTTCACTTCTATGTTCCATGGACCGCTTCACTTCTATGTTCCATGGACCGCTTCACTTCTATGTTGCGTGCACCACTTCACTTCTATGTTCCAGTTCACAGACCTTCTGCAGTCCAAGCACTGCTGCCAGCACGTGAGTCCTTGGCACGGAGACCACAATGGTCAAAACACGCTGTTCTCGCATGAACTGCATTGATTGATGTGTGACTTTGCATGCGGTTTGTTGAAGGAGGTTTATAAGAAACTCTCGCTTCACACAAAACACCTCAGCCTAGTCCATCTGATTGGGCAAACCAATGCTGCCAAAAGCGCCACATATTTCCGAGCTCGTTGTGTGGCCGCCAAAAGTGGCGTAGCTGCGGCGCCTCCAAATCGACTTTCAACCACTTGCATTTTGAGAAATATACCTGGACCCTCAAACTACCCATGAAATTCGCTATTGTCTCATTGTGGGGGCAATAACCATTTTTTAAGGGTAAAGTTTGAGGTCGTCCTCTACTCAAGATTCGCAGTGACTCCGACTTTGTGACTCTGGGGCACGGCAAATGTCACCTTTGAAACCCTGTTTTTGCCAAGTCGAACCTCAAGGCGGTAGTATCGGAGGATGTACCTCAGGCGAATCCCAGCAACAAAGCAATGCGCAGTGCGCCATGGGCCTATGCCGCAGCCAAGAGCAAAATACAAAGTGCGTCGACATAGATCGAAAGGAATCAACAGGGATCGAAACATATTGACCTGGACCCTCAAACTACCCCTTAAAAACTGGTTCTTGGCCCAATACTACAGGGCGATGCACCTTTTTTAAGGGTAGTTTGAGGATCCAGGGACATAGATCGAAATGGACATGGATCGAAATCAATCGCAATGGATCAACATGGATGGAAATGGACGAAAATGGTGGAAGTAAGAAGCAAAACTGGATCGAAATGGATCGACCTAGATCAACGTAGATCAAACGGATCTGTCAACCGAAACCCTCAAACTACCCATAAGAATTGATTTTGGCCCGAGACTATGTGACATTTTAGTTTGAGGATTCGGGGACAGAGATTGAAATGGATAGAAATGGAACCAAATTGATCGAAACGGACCGAAATGGATGGAAATGGATCGAACTAGATCAAAGTACGTCGAAACATGTCAACCTAAACCTTCAAACTACGCATAAGAACTGGTTTTAGTTTGAGTCGATCGAAATGGAACGAAATGGAACACCTTTGTTCAAAATCGATGGAAATGGATCGCAAGCATTTGCCCAAAAACCAGGCCGAAGTCACGGTCTGCGCTGGTACTCTGGCACCTCCTCAAAGTTCCCCAGCCAGCGGGCCTGCGCACTTGCACTCATTGACTTGAATTTGCTACCTTCAAACATCCTTCAAACTACCCCGGAAAAAAAAAGAAAAGAAAGGCATTCACCAACCATAATTTTTGGGGCAATGTCCCGTGTTGGAATTTTGTATGGGCTTCGGCACAGTGATTATCATTAGAAATTCGAAAAGATGTCACCCAATGCTTCGAAGCACTGGGTCAGCTACAACCATGTTCTTTGTGTTGGCGTCTTGCCTGTTCGGCCAGCCCTGTCTGTTTACACTCCGCCCTGTCTCTCTCTCTCTCTCTCTCTCTCCCGGACTCTCCCTGACGGCCTCTGAGAGTTTTGACTGGCTCTTGCTGCGCGCACAGCTATTGGAGAAGCATGGCTGACCTAAGCTCACTTCTTCCACTGGCAAATAAGGAATCCTCGGAAGCAGAAATTCGGGAACCTGCCAACTTCGACCCGCGGGCCATAGGTCAAAAGCCCGTAACCCCAGTGAACATCCCAATCCCCACTAAAATAGGTTCTAAAATGGGTGGTGAATTCACCTACCCCAAAATGGGATCCCATTGCTTTTGACCCACAGCCAGCTGTGAACCCCTGACGTACGAAACTCCACTCTGAGCCGGTTGCTCGTGTTCCGGCTGGGAGGCGACTCCTCACTCTTCGGCTCCATGGCCACGCGGGCGCTTTTTGTGCCGCACATTCAAACAAGCGGATCCGGTCCCGGCCAACCACATGGCGCTGATCTCATGGATGGCAACCAGGTGAATGCCACGTGAATGCCACGTGAATGCCATGGCCATGTGAATGCCATGAATGAAAAGTGGCTGCGGCATGCCCAGACTCTGACCCAGTGGATCCCAGATTCGCCTCTGATCCGACAGGCCATTGTCCGTTTTGGTGTTTAAAGAGGGGTTTTTTGGGTTACCCACAAGTGGTTAGAGGGTTCTCTTGGTTACCCACAAAACCAGGGGTTGGAATCACTCAATCTGTTCTTATAGGTTAAGCTTTGACCTTCCCGCCAAAACCAAAGTCTTCCCACTTCAATCGTCGCCGGCCAGGCTCCACTCTTTGGGCGACTTCCGCATCCCAGTGCTCGTACAAAGCCTGCAGCGGGCCACCCGCATGACCACCAATATTCGTCCCACTTGCAGCCGAATACTGGGGGACCCTTCGCTACACATCAGTTTGGGATGAGTTTCCAACCATTTGGCAGCTCCCCGCGAACAGAGCTCAGCACTGGGCCTGCTTCCGGTCGCGCACGCGATTGTCAAACTCCTCGATCAGTTGGCTGGCCTCCGGGGCGCCAAGTGGTCTCAGCTCGCAATGAGATGAATGAAAAGTTTCTCAATACTCCGTGGAAATGAAGGACTCCGGGCACTGTTCCAGAAAGAGCGCAGGCTTCTGCAACTGTCGGTGTAAAGGAACTTCCACCAGCAAAGGCCCAAGCTTGGCTTGTTCTTACCAAACTCACTGGCTCTAGGGATGGGCGGGGCAGGAGCGCTTGCTGTGTTTGTTTAAAAAGTCCAGCCGGCCAGGCCTGACAACTGTAAATGGGGGTTGTGCGCTGACATTTGCCATTACCACTGCAAGTGCGAAATTCTGTAGACGTGGCTCCCCAAACAGCAAAGATGTAGGTTTCTTCCATGCAGTAGAACGCAGGCACATGTCAAGGTGACACAACTGAACTCGAGCGTCATGAAGCAAGCGCTGTTTCTCCAAATAGGGGTCTCCTAAACCAAAAAAGGGTCCATCATTTCCAGGGCAGGCTAGTTCTTGTTGAGGGGAGGGAAGGGGTCTTTGCGAAATCAAACGGGCCATGAGCGAGGATGACACTTTCCTTTTGGTGGAGGTGTTTTTTTGCCTAGGGCTGGTTTTCTCCAACCGCTCGTTTTTCGCAACCTCGCATCACCAGCCTCACTTAGCAAAGGGCTGACATCCAGTCTGCTGTGGGGTGGGGTTAAGGCTGGCTTTGTGTGGGCTTGGGGTTCGCTTGGAGCTGATTTGTGCTAGGTGCTCTGCCGGCTTAGCGGTGGCTTCTTTATGGCGTGGTTACAACCAACCACGCCCAACCACGACCAACCAACCAACCAACCAACCAACCAACCGACCGAGCGACCGACCAACCAACCAGCCAGGGAACCAGACCTAAGGAAAAAACCCCTAGGAGAAAAACAACAACTCATCCCTTTCCATGTGGGGTCTCAAAAAATCGGGGGTCCCCACAAAACTATGTTTCTGCTTTTGTGTTGGCTTCCCCACTTCGACAAGTCGGCACGCATCCGCCAAAATGTTGGGCGGGACCATCAAACTACCCAAGTAAAGATGCACCAACCATGTGGGTCGATCTCCAATTTTTGATGGGAAGTTGGAGGGTCAAGGCACCCCCCAGTTCTCCGGCCAACTCTCGCGCCTCAGCCTTTAGGCCATTCTCTGAGAGGATGGAACGCACCAGAGACTGCCGAGCCGCGTCACGAGGCTTCGAATGTGAGCAGTTTCCGGGGCAAGAAGCGGGGAAGTCAGGTTACTTTCGTTTACTTTTTGACGAAAAACTTACAAAAGCTTGGCATGCGCTTTTGGAGAGGCCATACATTTTTGCCACAAGCTGAGCTGAAAAGATCAGCCTGGCTACGGAAGTGCCTTTTTTGTTGGATTCGCTGCTTCAAAACCGAATTCCCCTTCAAGCCTCAGTCCCGAGAGGCCTCTGTCTGGTGATCTTTCATCCTCTTCTGGCGCTCATGGCGCTCCTTGACAAGAGTTCGATATGGTAGCAACGTTCTTGTGGAATCCGTACCAAGGCTATCTCGCAAAGGCGCTCTAGGGTTACTTTCGCCCGCAAGTGGCACAGTCATTACGAAGCTTTCCAGGAAGTAGCGCGCGGGCGAGATGGGGGGGGGGGGGCGTCCTTGATGCGTAGCTGGTCGTCCTCCCGTAATTTGTGCAGCTTGTCCCTGGCCCATGCGATTTTGAATGTCCTCTTTTTTGTTCCAAACCCGTCCCCCTCTGCTCGCTACCTATGTGGAAGAGGCATTAAAGCTTTTAAAGGCAAGATCGCCGATCTTTCAAACTGGTAAGATGAAGGTGCTGACCCCGTTTCAGAAATTGAACTGCGTTAGCATCCAGACATGGCTAAGCTGAAATAACAAATGGCCAGCACGACAACTTCAGCTCAAACTCTTTTCTCTTCCGGGCTCTTTCCAACCTGCAGAATGGCGCTCAAGACTCAAGGCGCCATCAATGCGCCCTTTAACCAGCAGCTCATGGACAGGTCAAGCAACGACACTGGAATTGTGGGCGCGACTGGTGTGGCATTGACAACTGAGAAGCCAGCTCCCTCTTGCTCAGAGTTTGATCTGCCGCCGTGCTGCGGAGGTGCAGCCTAAGGCTGGTGCGTCACATCGCCAAAAACCGTCATAAGCCCATATAAGCCCCGGTTCTGCAGGCTCGACATTCCGTATGCTGTCAAACAAAAGGCACGACTACATTTAACAGGCCACACACAAATGCATCATTCTCTCACTTGGAGCTTGAAGCAATCTTGGCTCAGCGGCGCATCAGGCAGTTGACTCGTCACGCTGGCCGCAACGCCTGGCATCAGCATTTCTCATGGCGAATCACGGGTTTGGGCGTGGTTTTGCTTTGAGTCGCAGTACCAAAAAGGGTTTTGCTCACCTTGACCTAAAGGGAAACCAAAGGGAAAACCACAATTCACGGAACCTTCTGGCGGTTTCATGCGTACATGGCCAAATCACAGCTTTGTTTGGTGTTTGTTTGGGTCGCGGTACCCTTTTCACCTTGATATAAAGGGAACCCAGTGGAAAACATCACCATTGGCGGGGGCTTCTGGGGTTTGACGCATACATGGCCACTCCAACAAGGTCCTTCTCAAGGCTGACAACCCCTAGCCCCAGCCCGACCCTTCAGTGTTTCGGCCCGTTGCTCATTGCCTTTCTCCGTAGGTGGCTGCCATTGTGACTGCCAAACTGCGAAGCATCTTGCCTTCAGCCGACTGATTGGTGTCCTCGGCTCTGGCTGTTTCGTAAATGGGCATCGCCTTCGCCAACACAAGCGGCTTCCGTTTTTCTGATTTTGAGGCAGAGCTTTCAGATTTCAGTTGCAAACCTGGAGGAAGCCAGGTTTAAGAGGTCAGTCACCATCAAAGGGTCTTGAAATGGGCGTGGGTCAAACATAGGTACCCAAAATGGAACTCTGGTAAATGGAAACAAGGACTAAAACCTGCGGTCCATATCCTGGTGGTTTAAGTCGCTGAGTTGGTTCTGTGTTGGTTTTCGTTTGGAGTCTGAGCCGCGGTCCTGCCGGCCAAGCGATGCCTCGCGCGTTGACCCCAGAAGAGGTTCCGACATGGACAAAAAAATGGGTGACCAAGCCACTACACCCGCCTGGGGTTTGCGACCAACCCCTTTTTGACCCGAACTTTAAAATGTTGGCTTCCTTTTTGGTTGGCAAAGGGAAACCAAAAAGAAAGCCACCATACAAAAGGGGTCCCATTTTGACCAGTGGTGCATCCCTTCTTGCTACAGTGGTTGATGGACATGACGCCTGGATGCCAGGCCATTGCCAGGCCAAGTTTGGTCTCCCCATTTGGTGTTTCTCACGGCCATTTTAGGACTCGAATCCCGAAATCGGTGCTCAAAGCCACCCACCCGCTGGGAAAAGGCGCCAGCCTTCGGCTGCAAGCTTCCTGGCCACGCAGATTGCGACGCATGGAGTCGCATCCAAGCTTTAGACGCAGCGGTTGGAAGCAAACCGATAAATGGGATACATGTTCAGGTGACAAGTCTTCATATGTGCAGACATGCGGAGACTCCGTACTTGAGGCGCGCTGCTCAGCAAACAACTTCCGCCTTATGGTCAAAACGAACGAGAACATAAACTGCCTCGAAGCTCGCAAATCAAATCTCACATCCGCATGCACGAGATCGTCCGAAACCAGTCCCGCCTCGTGCTCTTGGCTCTCGCGCAGAGAGCGGCACTAGGGAGCTGCCTCCGATTCTGCAGTTGGATGGGGCACCGGCAGATGTGCTCTTTCACAAAAAAAAAAAAAAAAACTCCCACGTGAGTGGTGTTTCCTTTCTAGTTCGTGTGAAATTATGCAACCTTCCGCCAACCCTTCTGCGCCCTGCACGGATAGCTTCCGCAAAGCGGTTTAGAGGCATTTTGCATCCGCGACCCACAGTTTTCGCCTGGCCTATACTCTTTTTCTAGGGCGTTCGCAATGTTCGTTTAGTTGTTGCTGCTGTGGTTGCCGATGGCGCTGACAGGCATTCTCTACGCCAAGCAGTGGGCTGCGATGTGCTGTGCAACGCAACACAAGCTGCGCAAGCCCTGAGCCAAGGGAAAAGCGCTTAGGCTTCCTTCCAAGCAGGTTAGCTGCCGCTGTATAGAAGACGAGTTGGTGGTCTACCACCGCAAGCCCTTCTTTTGGAATCCCCACGACTGTGGCGCGGCACGCAGTTCCAACAAAGGCATTTCCGTACCTTGACATACTTATCTGAGGAGCACAAAAATACCAAAAGCTCACACGGCTCCGTAGCCAATCGCCAAACATCATGGGAAACAGATTGCTGGAGCATGAGCGGCGCACAACCACCTTGATGCCTCGAGGTTCCATGAAATACGCAGGGGGGCTTTCTTGCAACTCGCACCTTATGAACTCGGAGTGCTTGTGTATGGTGGCGCAAACAAACTAAAGATCGGATAGAAACATGTGAGCAGTGCCCGTTGCACCCATCAACATGGCTACAAATTGACTTTTCTGGGGATCGCTAGAATCGATCAACCAGGTATAATATGGTACTATTGTTAGAGGGATCCCGTAATCCCTTTTCAAACCGCCTTTCTTTTCTTCTTTGCGAGGGGGGGGCGGGTGGGCGCTCGCCGCAAAGTGTCGCGCCTGCACCTTGCAGATCGCTCCGGGTTCCCCTGAGTCATGCACTTGGGACCCCCGAGTGACACGGCTTCGAATGGGCAAAAGGAAGCTGTTGCCCTACAGGGCCCACTTGGGTCTTTGTTGTATGGGACCCCCCCAAAATGGTGGTTTTCCTGTTGGCTTCCCTTTAAATCCACGCAAACAAGGGTACCCGAAAGAAGGATGACATACCTACTTGCGGGTGCGACAGAAGGCCAGAATTCAAGACTCGGAACAAGGGGAACAAGAAAATCTGCAAATCTGGTCCTAGCAGAGATCTCTCTGTGTGGATGCTTCGGTTTGGCGGAGATTCGGTAACATCGCAAGGCTCCCATGACGCTGACCATCCCAAGACCCCAAGATGCGGTGCAAGCATACCAACGCTAGCGAAGGCGTCTGACGGCTTTCGGGGGCATTTCGTTTTGTCTCAGAATGTGGGACACCCCCAAAATGGTTGGTTTCCTGTTGGTTTCCCATGTTTCCCTTCAAACCCAACCCAAAAAAGGACACCCTCGTTTCCCAGTTCTTGCGTGCCAAAGGATGTGCAATTATTGCGGCCTGGCACTTTGTGGTTCCATGGCAAAAGCAACGGCCCTCTAGAGACCAGTCTCTCTCGACTGGAAGCACTGGAAGAACTCAAAGCGCTGGCTGACCATTCGGATCAATTAGCTTCATTGTCGTTCATCTTCCAACCGTATGATCATTCATGTCGACACAGCTATCCACTAACATTCCATTCTTTTTGATCGGAAGCTGCCAAACTAAAGCCAATGTGCGTTCGTAGTGATGCGTGATCTGATTCGATGTCTAGTGAAGAGTCCAACATGCTTGCAATCAAACCTGTGTCTCGGCTTAGCACAACACTTCAAGTGCTCTCGTGGCCGGTGATCATTGATGCAAAGCCGCTCAAAAGGTCAATTTTGCTCCTCAGCTACGTTCTATTCACGAAGCGTAATCCGCGTACACACCTTGACAGGACATGATTCCTGACTCCGAGGGAGTAATGTACAAGCGATTGCTTCAGCCAAGCTTTCCCCGTGCCGGGAATTTCGCATGAGCAACTAGCTTGCAGGCCATTCACAAAGCTCTCGGCCGGGCAATGGCCATGGAAGAAACCCGCCCATTGGGGTCACATTTTGAGACCCGGCTTCAGAGCGAAGCTATACAAAGAACAAGTCTTCTGAGCTTCGAAGCCTCAAGACTCTGACCTCAGGCGAACAAATCCGGCGTTTGAAGTCGCCCGAACGTTTCTGGGCCACAGACTTTACTCTGTCGGCAGTCAGGGTCGAGCCTATCCAGATCCGGAGTCAACGCGTAGCAAGGGATTGGCTGGGGATCTCGTGGATTCGTCTAAGCTCCCAGCCGCAGTGCTTGTTCCAGCCTTAGTGCTCTTGACATGCCCGGTCCAACCTCCAGCTGAGTCCTGGGCTTCATGATCATGTCCAGGCGGCTGACAGGCCTGCCATCTCCAAACGCCGCAAACAAAGAAAGAGTCTCTGGAATTAAGGAGACCTGGTAGGTTTCTGCTTGGTCTTTCTTCACCAAACAAATCCTTTAAAAACGACGCACCCAAAGCTCTGAGGCTCGTGGAAGCTCGGCGAAGCGGCGCAGTCTCAGTGTGCATCACTTCGCTCAGCCTTCGCAGGACAGCCTGGCAACAAAGCCGCAAGCCAACACTTGTAAGAGCAAAAATACATCACGCCCGCACATCCAACGTCTGAGAGACCCAAATAATTGTGACCGCATTTCCGCTCCTCTGGTGATGACCCTGTGCAGGATACGCATTTCCGCAGCAGCTTTTGTAGGATTTCGGCCTGCGTAGCAAAACCGCAACCTCCGACTAGTCCCAGCCCTCACAGCTCCCTTCCATCCATTTCGAGTGTGGCGCTGTGCCTTTGCACATCTGTTTGCCAAATGCACAAACACCTTGACCTGGTGGGCTGCAATTCCCTGAGGCTATCCCCAAAAGGATGAGGACTTTGACACGAAACACTTTCTCTGAAAGGCTGGGAGCTCCCGCCGAGTCAGCCGAGCTTCCTGAGCTTGCGCGTCGTCTGCCTGCACCTCACACAATCCGCATCACGTACTGCAAAACTGAAAACTGAACATGTTCCCAAGGAATGCCGGTTTTTTTCCCGCATTGAACAACTTTAAGTTTAATATACATCTGCCCGGCATGCAACCAACCAGCGCAATGAAATCCGCGAGTCATGTCTTCCATGTCCACTTCGTGAAAGCACTGCGGTTATGATCAGTTTGCGACACTGACCATGAAGTGCGCATGGGAGACGTCAACACTGTGCGCACGGTGATAGGTTACAGCTGATTGCCCAGCATCCGAACATCAAAGCTCGATCTCTTCTCCGCTCTTGAGCCCGTACAATCACCCAAAGGGCCACGAGTCATCAAAGATACAGATCCACATAGCAGCCTCACATGTCCAGGGAATCGTTTTGGACCAATGGAGAAACAGCTGGTCTTAAGGGATAGTTGCTGCAAAAAGGGCAAGAGGGTTTGTGAACATGGGCAGATCCTTTGAGAGAAACCCGATTTTATTTATATTCTTCATGGAAAAAAACCCAATGGCCTGGCAGCAACTTCCTGCAAAGCTGCAGCCTCAGGGTGTGCGGGGCCATTGGCTTTCTGTACGTCTGTCATGTCCACATGTTTGTCTGTTTCCCTGCATGTCTGTCTGTGTGCATGTCGGTCTGTCTCTATGTCTGTCTCTCTGTTTATATCTCTGCCTGTCTGTGTGCGTGTCCGTCTGCCTGCACGTCTGTCATGTGTGCTGTCTGCCTGTCTGTCCGTCTCTATGTCTGCCTCGCTGTGTATATCTCTGCCTGTCTGTGTGTCTGTCTGTCTGCCTGTACGCCTGTCATGTATGTCTGTATGTGTGCCCATCTGTCTGTCTGCCTGTCGTTCTGTTTATATGCTTGTTTGTCTGTCTGCCTGTACGTCTGTCATGTGTGTCTGTATGTCTGCCTGCCTGTCTGTCTGCCTGTCTGTCCGTCTCTATGTCTGTCTCTCTGTGTACATCTCTGCCTGTCTGTGTGTCTGTCTGTCTGCCTCTATGTCTGTCATGTATGTCTGTCTGCCTGTCTGTGTACGTCTGTCATGTATGTCTGTATGCCTGTCTGTCTGTCTGGCTGTCTCTCTGTCTCTATGTCTGTCTCTCTGCTTATATCTCTGCCTGTCTGCGTGCGTGTCTGTCTGCCTGCACGTCTGTCATGTGTGTCTGGATGTCTGCCTGCCTGTCTGTCTGCCTGTCTGTCCGTCTCTATGTCTGTCTCTCTGCGTATATCTGTGCCTGTCTGTGTGTCTGTCTGTCTGCCTCTATGTCTGTCATGTATGTCTGTATGTCTGTCTGCCTGTCTGTCTGCCTGTCTTTCTGTTTATACTCTTGTTTCTGTGTGCGTGTGTGTGTGTCTGTCTGTCTGCCTGTACGTCTGTCATGTGTGTCTGTATGTCTGTATGTCTGTCTGCCTGTCTGTGTACGTCTGTCATGTATGTCTGTATGCCTGTCTGTCTGTCTGTCTGTCTGTCTCTCTGTGTCTATGTCTGTCTCTCTGTGTATATCTCTGCCTGTCTGTGTGTCTGTCTGTCTGCCTCTATGTCTGTTATGTATGTTTGTATGTCCGTCTGCCTGTCTGTCTGCCTGTATTTCTGTTTGTATGCTTGTTTGTGTGTGTGTGTGTGCGCGTCTGTCTGTCTGCCTGTACGTCTGTCATGTGTGTCTGTATGTCTGTACGTCTGTCTGCCTGTACGTCTGTCATGTATGTATGTATGTATGTACGAGTATGTCCGTCCTTCTGGCTGTCTGGCTGTGTCTATGTCTATCGTTGCGTCTGTCTGTCAGCCTGTACGTCTGTCATGTGTGCCTGTATGTCTGTATGTGTCTCTCTGTCTTCTGTCTGTCTGTCTGCCTGTATGTCTGTCATGTATGTCTGTATGTTTGTGTGTCGAGCGTTCCGTCAGTCAGTCTGTCCGTATGTCTCTCCTCCTGGCTGTCTGTCTGTCTCTATGTCTGTGTTTACGTCTGTCTGTCTGTCCTCTGTATGTCTGTATGTCAGTCCTTCTGGCTGCCTGTCTGCCTCTACGTCTGTCATCTGTGTGTCTGTCTGTCCGTCCGTCCGTCCGTCCGTCCGTCCGTCCGTCTGTCTGTCTGTCTGTCTCTGTCGTCTGTCTGTCTGTCTGTCTGTTTGTCTGTCTGTCTGTCTGTCTGTCAGTCTGTCTGTCTGTCTGTGTCTGTCTGTCTCTCTGTCTCTCTGTCTCTCTGTCTCTCTGTCTCTCTGTCTCTCTGTCTCTCTGTCTCTCTGTCTCTCTCTGTCTCTCTGTCTGTCTGTCTCTGTCTGTCTGTCTGTCTGTCTCTCTGTCTGTCTGTCTGTCTGTCTGTCTGTCTGTCTGTCTGTCCGGCCGTGTGTCTGTCTGTCCGACTTTGTGTCTGCGCGTCTGTCCTTCTGGCTGTCTGTCTGTCCATCTGCCTGTCTGCGAGTCTCTTCTTCTGGCTGTCTGTCTGGCTCTATGTCTGTCCTTACGTCTGTCTTGCATGGGTTCATCAATACCCTTCCCTGTTCGCGGCTCTCGCTATTGTAGTCGTTGCCAATGCCAATCAAAACCCTCCTCGACTGGAGCATGCCGCATCAAAGTTTCAGCTTGTTTCTTTCTGAGGGAACACTGGCGCAAAACATGTCCTCCACTAAAGCACTGGAAATGCTGAGGGTGCAGAGCAGCAAGCGGAAAAACACTTGCTTCACTAAACCACTGGTGATGCTGGGGGTGCGACTGCTGTAGTCTGCGAACTAGCGCGATCCACATCTACTTTTAATAGCGCATGCCTTGACCGCGCAATTGCACAAAGCCAGTGTAGAGCACGTGCAAAAAAACGACTTTCTGCTCCCATCTCGTTGGGTGAGATAGATTGCCCTTAAGGAAACTCCTCAACAAGTACCCCTTCAGGTGGTTGGTTTCCTTTCGGTTTGCTTTTGATACCACGCAAATCGGGGTTCCCCATGAGACAGGGGCCCCATTCCGCGGCCGGACGTGCCTCGCCAGGCTGCGGCACAGAGGTCGTATGCGAGCCATCACTGGATGTCCGCGTCGATCTTCAAAGAAAACTGGGAGATATTTATCCGATCTGGAACACCATACAAAACCAGGATCCCCTCACAATTCAGGTTTTGGGAGACTTGACGCACTATACAAAATTGGGATCCCCTACATACAATCGACCCTGGTTCGGTTTAGAATCGCAACCACAAGTCAATCACAGTTTCTGCAAATGTTGCAATCCTTCATCCACTTCAATGAAGGAATTCCTTGGGAACCTTCATCATGCGGTGTTTACCTTCGCTCGTGCTTCAAAGTTCTTGAAAGGCTTCGAGGGTGGAAGAGCTGGCTCGCTGAAAATTGATTGCTGGGCAGCTGCCCCATTCCTCGGTTTTGAGCTCTACGGCCGCGGAAAAATGATTTACTGGAAGTTCGATCAAGCATGGTTCAGCTTATCTTAATGGCGTCTGCATCTTGAACCTCGCGAGTTCTGGGACATGACAGAAAAATCAGAGCACATGGCTTTTTCTCGAGCTGGAACGCGGCTCCAGCCAGTGGTTTCTCTTCACAACCCAGGATCGGCCTGGATCGCGACTCCATCATTCTGGCCGTCGAGTCTCACGCGTCGCCAAAATACATGTCGTGAATGAGCTGACGGAAAATTCCCTGCATTCCCCCTACTCACCAATGCACGTCCCGTGCACAGAACGGGCGTTTGACCCAAGCTTCGGACAAAATCCATGCGCAGGCCTAGCATCTGGGAGAAGCCATTGAGTTCTTAACCCGCTTCGCTAAGATGCACATGGGCTTTGCCCCTTCGTCCCCTTCCGCCTGTAGCTATGAGCCCGCCGCGTCCAGGTCAGCTTTTTGCAAAACCCGAGTCCAGACTTTCCGAACCATCCATCTCTAGCGGCGGAGTCACAGAGCTCGGAGCTCGGAGCGGATGTCCACGGCTCGGAAGCCGGACTTCGGCTGGGCTTTTCTTTGCAATTCGCACGGAAAAGCTGGTTGAAGCTGAGCCACACGATCCATGAGTTTTTGAGTGCCAGAGGTTGACTTGCAAGGCCAGCCGGAAGTGATACCATGGCACTCAGGTCGCCACCGGCAGCACAAGCCTGCTCCCCATATCATAAGGGGCAGGGAGGGGGGGGGGACGCAAATAGGCAACGTGTGACTGCAAGGGGTGCCCGCGGAATGATGCGATCTTGATCGTGCTGGCGACAGTCCAGTTGCAACGAGGCAACGAGAACGGCTGATTTGCACAAGACACAGCTGAGACAGGCACTTTCCGCCGTACCACTTGCTTCTGGCGTAGTAGTAGAAAAAGTCACAATAAAGCGCCTGCAATGACAAGCGCGCAACTTGACCACACAGGGCCAAAAGGGCAGTCTGCGAAAAGGGCTGTCCTAAAATTTGCTGCTCAGGCACTGTTTGCACGACGCCGCCAATCCAGCCGACCCAATTCACGTAGTCGTCGGCCTTGGGCAACTGGAGGCCACAACCCACCCGACCCCGACTTTCCGAGGCCGGATTTTCCCAAACCGATCCCACTTCACGAGATCTGAACTGCGTGGCAGTCACACAATTTCCCGTGGAACGAGCTCTAAGGCACAAGCAAAGTATCGGTAGATCCAATTCAATATGTAAAAGGCTCTGTACCTCTGATTCCAAGGCCTGACACTCTTCAAGTGTTGTCGCTCTCGCTCTCTTGTCCGTGCCTCTCGCCCTGGATTTCTGTCTCGCTCTCGCTCTCTCTCTCTCTCTTTCCCTCGGTAGCCATCATGCATCGGTCCGTGCAACTCTTCTCGTGCAAATGAAGCCACTTCACGGATCACACATCCAACAACCGTCGGAGGTGAAAATGCGCACGCGCCCATGGTGGCAACAAACTGCGAGGTCAAGTTCTCCACCTGGCTGGATCACTGTTGCAATGTGGGGCCTGATATGTCCACTCTCCTTTTGGCCCCTTACTACGGTAAAAAAAAAATATATCCGCAAGCGTACCCGCAAAAACACAGACACAGACGACACACACTTCCTGATTCAGCTGGCAGAAGCTTCTGGCTTGAAACTGATGCATCAGCTGTCTTCTCAAATTGACCCCGACATGATTTGGCTTCCTTGAGGCTTCCCCTTCAATGCAACATGACACACCCGGTTTAGGCGGCACCTCTCTCATCTGCTGCAGCAGGACCAGCTGGGGCACAATGGCCACACTCTCCAGCCAAATGGAGGTCGTCCAAAGGATCTCGGCGATTCGGGAGGCCGTCAGGCGCTGTTTCAAGTTGCTGTGACGCTGTGACGCTTGAAAGAGCGCGTGCTCTGGCCTCTGCGACACCATACTCCTCTGTGGTGAGGATGCCCAGCGCAAAGCAGGGCCCTAGCAGGTAGATCTCATAGGGAAACTTGTCGGTGCTCCTCAAAGCTCAGCAATCTTCCATGTTCACCCCAAACGGGTTACTCATTTCGGAGATGGTACCCTTTCCAGGTTGGTAAGGGAAACTCAAATCGGAAAGTCGCCATTTTGGGTTCAACCCCTAGTTTGACACCTCATGGCAGTCCGAAACCCCGCTGGCTCCAGACCCAAGGTTAAGACCAGGCAGTAGAACTGCCTATGGCTGGGGCTTCGGGGCTTCGAGGCTTCGAGGCTTCGAGCAACCCAATGGCAAGCCCTTCTCCTCTCATAGGTCTGTGAGATTGGCGGCTTCACTCGCATCAAGTAGATCAAATAAAGCCTTGGTCACTTTTTGCACTGTTTTGTGACACGCTTCGCGGTGTACAATAGTTTGAAAACACGTCATCACGGGCTTACTCACCTGCTTTCGACAAGAGGCGTGGCAGTGATGAAGACCACCTTCATCACGGTGTTGTACACCTGAGAACGGCGAGACTCTGCCCAAGGGGGGCAAGCTTTTGCGCAATGCCACTGTCCTCTTAAGTGTGTCATGAGTCTTTTAGGAGCAAACGCCAAAACTTTTATTTATAGTTCCCAGCACTTTTGGCCAGGTCCTGATGTGAACTCATTTCCGGGTTTAAGTCCGTTGGAGGTAACCAAACAAGGAACCCGGAGGACAACGCAGTCTGAACGCAGTCTGCGTACGTGTCTGTGTGCGTGTCTTGTCCTTTTTGCACCCAGACTTCCATTTGCTTAAGCCCCCGGGAAAATAACTCATTTCCAGTAGTGATAGGTTCCCTTTAAAACCAACAAAGGAAAATTAACAAAAACATATTCTTAAGCAAATGGAAGTAGAGCAATGCCTCGCGGGAACGCCGAGAGCCGAGGACCGCACTGAGATGAAGCTCCACAAGAGGTCGAGATATCGAAAAACGAAGACCATGGCATACATCTCCTGGAAGGCTCAGGCTTCTACCTTTTTGACAACCGGCAAATAGACATAAACCCAGAAGGTTCCTTTTTGGGTACATGACCCACCCCTGGGTTTAAGTCTATTTGAGGGTCGTCAAACAGTGGAAACCTGGGAAGGCGACTTCTGAAAGTAGCACATGACCCGACACCCCTTCAACTCGACCTGGCCGACTGGCCGACACGCGGAGTCCGCAACCCAAACCATCACGCGCGCCTGCATGCGGCAGGACACCCCAACGCAGCTCTTGCTTTTGTGCAGCTTCCTTGGTACGTATGCTGAGAACAAAAGCCCGAACCCTCTGATGTTTATTGGCCAGGGACATCTCAAAACCTAGAAGAAGAATCAGACCCCCAAACATATCATATACGGCCATGGGTCAAAATCCCGTACCCCCAGTGAACAATCCCCACTAAGATAGACTAACATGGGTGGTGCACCTACCCCACAATGGTACCATTGGTTTTGGACCCACCGCCATGTGTCGTGAACAAATATCACGACTTGCAAGGAAAAGGGAGACCAACCGCTTGGCATCTCACCGCTTTCAACAAACGTGATCATCCCCAATGCAACCAGTCCATGGTTCCATCTGCAGGCTGTTTGCCATGAGTATGTCAAAGAATTCCGCCCCCGGTTTCCTTTTGGGTTTCCTCTGAACCCCAAAAATGGAGGGGGGGCCTCAAAACAATCACAAACACGTACACAAACAAGACACAAGTCCCCGAGAAAGGCGGGCTGCGGCCGAGGCTCCACAACAGCAGCATGATGCTGGTCAGGTGCAGCCTCAGATTTCTGTCCGACGGAAATCTGGCGCTGGTCTCTAGTGGTCGATGGACAACTGTGGACAAATCCGGTCTCGTCTGTTGTGGTGTGTTTTGTTGGGTGCAAGTAAATGGCACATGGTGTTTTTGTTTAGCCAGTACTTGGCCATGGGTCAAAAGCCCGTAACCCCAGTGAACATCCCAATCCCCACTAAAATAGACTAAAATGGGTGGTGCACCTATCCCAAAATGGTACCATTGCTTTTGACCCACAGCCACTTGACTTACCCACAAGGGAATTGCGCCATCTACTTTCACTCCCGCAGAAGTCCTGGACTGGAGTCGCTCAGAGCGGGGCATGTCACCCGCTAATCGAAATATGTTCCTCGGCTTGCAGTTGCTCTCATTCAAAGACGCTTGTATCGCCGGTTTGAATTGGGTTGGGGATTTCAACTTATTGTTCTTGTTGAGAGTGACTGGGAAGCAGCCCGCAAACCTCCAATCCAAATGGGTGAAAATTTGATTGGGGACCCTCCAAGCACCATTGAGGTGGGGGTTGCGTGCACTAACCACTTTTGAGTGGGGTCCCTTTTGCAATTCTTAGCCAAATCACAAATTAAGGGCTCCCAGATTGTCCACTTGCTACCTGAAGCTGGTCAAATGTCCCATGTACAGCTGTACAGCCCACCTCTCCTCAGCCGTTTCGCATGGTTCCCCGATTTGTTCTTTTTGAGTTTGCCCTGTGTGGCAGGCTGGTTTAAGAGAAACCAATGCGAAACGTGTTTTTGAGGGTGCCGGAGGAAAGGCTCAAACGGAACCCAAAATGCAGCTGAGATTCATGGCTGGAAGTTGGCTCACAGCCACCACTTCGCCGTCTAAACCAAAGCTGCGGATGAATTCGTCCCTTGGAAGTACAATCGAAGAAACACCAACTGGACACTCCCTTGGATGAAACAGCTCAAGAACTTCAGTCCATCAATCAGGAAGGGCTCCTTCGACTTTTTCACATGCCTCAGGCGCTTCCAAAAGTGCCCACTGACAGCCCAAGCAGAGCTTGAGCACATTATCTACGCAGCGCTTGACGCTGCCGGATTTGCTGGCGGTGTGAGCTTGAGCTGGCCCTGCTACGGGCAGAATATCTGACCTGGCGAATATTCGAACTTACAATGAAGTTACACGATCTCGATTCCTATCAAAAGGATCCAACGAAGTGTCCACTTGGGCGTGGCTCAAAATGAATCAGCTAGGGTTACGCAAATGAATAGTGTTTGCTTCCATTTACCAAGGTGCCAGTTGGGTACACATTTTGAGCCACAGCCACTTCCGCTTGAAGCACTGGGTCCTTACGGTACCCCTCAAGGCCAGCTCCAAAGCTCATAAGTCCCACTGGTCGTTGAACCACTTCTCAAAGAGCCGCTTGTGACCAGTCTGCCAGGTCAAGGGAGGTTGCAACACGAGGATCTGAAAGCTCCAGCCTTCTCCACCTTCAAGTCATCGAAGAAAGTCCTTGCAGAAAAAAGAAAAACAAAAACCGCCGACTCCAGCATAAGTCTAAATTATCACGCGGGAATGAAGCTCTGCTCAAACCGCTTGATCTGCCAATTTGGCAAAGCCACTGGTCAATGGCAATCTTGCCATCATCGCCAGGAGGTGTCACATAGAGCTCCATGATCTGCCATCAGCTCAATCAAGCGAGAACGCAACATTTGAGCAATATAAGTTGCAACCAAACCAGAGGCAGTAATTCGAATCCTTTTTCGTGAGATGGCATTCACCCGTAACATCTCATCTCTTGTTGCTTTCCAGCAGTTCTGACTTGGTGGGCGCCTGCTCAAGTGTGTCATAATTGGCCATCAGCGGCTCCTCATACCTGGCAGGACGCTCGCGTCTTGCATCCGGGGGTTCCCACACACGGAAGAACCCCTTTTTGGTCTTTGAAGGGAGACATGTCTCCTGCTTTTTGACACCCATTCTGGCGCACTGCATCAGAAATCCCTTGCCTCACGGTAGCAAATGCGCACATGGCATCCGTCAAGTTGCTCCCCTGTGCCAAAAAAAGCAGGAAACAGAAGCCAGGTCTTTTCTTCACACAACTGCAAATATGCCGCAACAGGTTACCCTGGAAAACGAAAAAATATATGTCTCAGGCGCAGGCCGCCATCAACACTCTTGAGCCACTTGCGCAGCGGCATCGAGCGCCAGTCCTCAGATCAAATCGAACCCCATAACTCAGGTCCCCTTACCCTTGAAAGAGCACCTCCCCCCCGAAATCCCTCCCCCCCTCGCACCAAAGCAAAAATAAGGAATGGGCCGGGGGCGGGGGACATTAATAGCTACACTTTCTTAGAACGTAGTCCTTACTAACCCTCTGGGCGCAGGGCGGCCGGCACCTCCGTGTCATCCTGGCGAACTTTCTGAGTCCGAAAAGTCATCCTTGAAAGTTCGGGACATGGACCGCCCCATTTTGACGGGTCCGGCCCAAAAAAGACGTACGCCTTAGTACCGGCAAAGAACGTCCGAGGTCCGCTGGCCAGGCCTCTTCATCTAGTCCGTCAGATCCATTGACCTTCAACTCTTTCGGCGCGCTGAAATGGGCATGGGTCACAAGGGGAGCGCGGGTTTTAGTCCTTGGTTCCATTTACCAGGGCTCCATTTTGGGTGCCCATTTTTGACCCATGCGCCTCGTGTGGAGTCCAGCCAGCATCTTGGGCGATCTGCGAACGGCTCAGGTGGGATTTCGCAAACTGCTGGGAAAGCCCCCTTTGGATGGCATTGAGTCGAACATCAAAAGCAAACTAGCCCATTTCTACGGGTTTAGTCGAACATCAAAAGCAAACTAGCCCATTTTACCGGAGCCCTATTTTGAGAAACACCCATCAGTCTCAGCTGGGCTGGCTGACTGGCCTCCCGACAGGCCTTCAAGACATAAGCAGAGCCTTTCCTGGCAAGGGCAGTCTCTGATGGCAGCTTCTCACCGAAAATGGCAAGATGTCCTTTGGATGTCGCTTTTAAATACCCCCCGAAAATCATAATCCCTTATTCATCAGAAAGGGCGTTCCCTATCATTTTGATTACAAGCAGCTCTTCTTTGCTTTGTGGCTCACATCCCATGACCTGGCACCACAGGTACTCACATGAATAAAGCTGGCGACAAAGATCGGATCGGCGCGAACTGCTTGCAGTTGCTTGCTGTTTGCTGCCTGACGTCCTTGCCCTCATCCAGCAAGTCCATCAAGTCCCTCATGACTTGGACAGCCTGCGCATAAGTGGTATAATTGTTTGGTACCTGAAAAGACTGGAGGTGTTCTCTGTCCAAATGCCAACTGAGCCCATTGACTTTGGTTCTAATAAACCCGGTGGAACCACCTGCTCAAATAGCCTCTTGGGGGCTAGAGGGGCGCTCAATTAATTGAAGGCACGCCAAGAAAACTGTCCGGCCTGCATGGCCGGCACAGAGCACAAAGCTTTCATGGCTCTGTCATCTAACCTTGGTTTGCTCCAATGCCAAGACAAAGTGGCCCTCGGTTGCCCATTTGGCCGCCATCCTACAAATCGGAAGTTCTCGGACCTGCAGACTGGCTCCGGCACCCGAGCTTATTCTCGTTGACAAACTTGACCACCTCCGAAGCAATCACATGGAGCAAAAAGCTGCGCAACGGCAAGCAAAATAACTCTGCGCAGGGTACGGGCATGTCTCATCATGCATCTGTGGGGGATCTTGGATGGGCTCAGAAATGACATGCGCCCGATCCGCAAGAGTGATTTTTGCACACGCCTGATCCTGTGGCTTCTCAGCGTCTGCATCCTCGTAGTCCTAATGAGAAGTCTTGCAGGACATGAATTCAAATGCGCGCTGGGCGACGCAAATATGTCGCCCATGGAAGCACATTCCAGGCTGCCCTCTCGCTGTGCTTCTTGACCCGCCCCACACAAATGCAGTCTGGCAAGTGTTCTGCGGCTACTCCGAAAAGGCGTTCGAGGCGATAGTCACCAACCAGAAGCGGCTGTTTGGGGAATGCCTCCAAAAGAAGACCTTTTGCCTGGTAAACCTGAATCTATTAGGTGGCTGACACGTGCTTCTCAACTCTGGGATGCCCTGCATCCGGCTCGGTGAGATTCACGCCTCACTGCTCGGTGAGAACTCTGCAGTGCCACAAACTACCGCCTTATTGATCGGAGACAGTTTGTAGTTCGCAAGGAAATAGAGGACACCCGGCATTTTGGCGAAAAAGCACGAATTCTCGCACAAGGGTTCCAAACCAACCAAGCTCAAGCAACCAGGTCCTGCCACACACATACAGCCAGGTGCAAGTACTCATGCCTGGCTCGCGTCGCGGGCTTCGGCCTTGGGCTGTTGCAATGAGCAACTACCGATCGCCGAATCCCGCAAAATAGGTGTTGGGGGTACTGCCCTGCACGGCTTGCTCCAGCAACACTTTGGAGGCAGACATACAACCATGTAAGTGCAATAAAACACACACACACACACACACACACACACACACACACACACACACACACACACACACACACACACACACACACACACACACACACACACACACACACACACACACACACACACACACACACACACACACACACACACACACACACACACACACACACACACACACACACACACACACACACACACACACACACACACACACACACACACACACACACACACACACACACACACACACACACACACACACACGCGCACACACAGACACGCGCGCACACACACACACACACCGCCCTATTGAAACACCGCAAGGCAGAGCGTGCAACTAAGAATGCTGCTTCTTTGCCGCTCGTAGGCTCGGTACCTGTTTCCGGATGAGCGATCCTCGTAATTCTCCTGGCCGATGCAGCATTTGTCAAAACCGGCAGGAAGGTCAGCTAAACGATGCTTGGTGTCTCATCCCATTGTACATGGACGGCTAGCTGCCGGCCAGCTGCTCGCAGCGTCGCACTTACTTTTCATTCCAGTGCAGCTATCAGACAGCAGGGCTGATGAATTGAAGCAGGCGAGAGCTGCGATAGCCTTGCAAACCCATCAACCCGAGGACTAGATCACAGCTTTGCTGAGATCAAAGACGCTGTGCGACTCCGGACCTGCAAAAACTGCTTGACTGATTGAGTACCCACAGCTTCCTGGTTGCGTACCTATTCTATGCGATGCTGTCTTGGACAGCATTCGAAGATGTCAATCCCTTCTTTTGGATGCTGTCGACACTTGGAACCAACATCTGAATTGGCAGTGACTTTGGGATTGAGATGGATTGAGCAAGTGCTCCAATTTGTCCTTCGACACATTTTCCGAACGAAACCACATTCAACGCGTCAGTCCGCTAAAAATTTTCGTCGGCGATGCACTCCATGCCTCAAGCCAAGCAAAACAAGCATAAACCCAATCGAATTGTTGGAGAGATTTCAGCAGTGCTACCTCCCACTTGCACTGCAGCGCAACTCTCGAATATGGAACACCGCAAGACTCTGAACAGCAAAAGATATACCAAGGAACTTAGAACGTGAATCAAACCGTTGAGGCTGGGTAACCCTCTTGTATGAAAATGGAGAATGTGGTTGTCCCTGCTAGATCCGAAACACCCCCACAGCATATTGCTAGCTTAGCTCGAAGAACAATATAATGAAAGCATCACAGGCACTCAGTAATACATAGTCGATAGTGATACCAGGTTGAGTCTCTCTTTCTCTGTTCGAACGACCACGAGCATTGCGGCGTGAGCCTCGTCAGAGGCGACTGCCAGAAACGCCTGCGAGATGAGAGTAGCTTGAAACAGCCAGTTTGCCCGATGTATAACGGGGTTTCAAATATCTGAATCAAAGTGGCAAGAGCGAATGCGGGTTTGTCTCAAAAAAGGGGCCTTAGCAAAATTGGCAAAAGATGTAAGATGTTGCTCAACATTGACCCATGTGTCAATACGAGTCCCGAAATAGCGGTTGTCCTGTCAGTTTCCCCAACCAAGGTGAAACGGGTAGCCTCAAAAAACACGTTGACCTATGTGGCAGCTGATCAATGTTGCGCTCTGGAGCCATTGGCTGTCACGCTCGCAAACACAGTAACCGCAGCTCACTTGCCTTGGCAGGTGTTGATGCTGTAGAGCAGGCAAGATCATGCGAGGATGCGCATGAGCGACTTTTCCTACCTGTTCGATTGACTCTTGGGCCTATCCCACGTGCAAATGCTAACATATTCACACAGCTCCAAGATGGAGCCAATTTTTTGTTGGCTAAGCTTCACTTCTGCTTGTTGAACCTCCAGGGAATCTGGATGCTGCCGCTCGCCATGAGTCCCCACCATTTCCGCGGGCACATTCTCGTCGAATATTTATTCGATCCGCCGCAGCTGCTCAAGATGACTTCCTCGATGGCCTTCCGACGCGTGCAGGCATGGCTTCTGCTGCGTGGGCAGACGAGGACGCTCCCTGCCTTGCGGCCGCTCTGATGGCCCAGCGGCCTCCCGACGACGCGCTGCGCAAGCGGCCTCGCGAGGACGCGCTGCTCGAGGCCGAGCGCTCGCACCAGCGGCGCCGCATCGAGATCCTCAATGAGCAGCTGGACAGCTCGGAGGCGGAAGTCGAACACCTCGAGAAGAGGCTGGATGGGCTCGAGGACATCTGGAAAGAGGTGGGCGACGTCTCTACGGCGGCTCTTCACACCCCGGCCACGCGCGCCCCACGGGCTTGCCCTGCGCTGGTTTGAGGCTGATGAGGTGTGGCACGGGCGGTGGGATGAGTGGGACGCGATCAGATCTCACGGGGGCTCGCCGCGGCCCCCGCCCCGACCCGACACAGGCAAACGCTGTAGACGTAGAGAATAGAGTCAAAAGGGAGGGTGGGGCCTTGCTCGATTGGTTTGAAAAAACCCGCGCAGCCCCTATGATGACGTCCTCTGGGGCCTTCCGCTGCGTGCAAGCATGGCTTCTGGAAAAGCCCGCTGCGTGGGTGGAGAAGGACGCTCCCAGCCTTGCGGCCGCTCTGATGGCCCAGCGGCCTCCCGACAAGCGGCCTCGCGAAGATGCGCTGCTCGAGGCCAAGCGCTCGCACCAGCGGCGCCGCATCGAGATCCTCGAGGAGCAGCTGGCTCGAGAGCGCGGAGGCAAAACTCCGCGAGAGAGCCGAAGAGCACGAGATCCTGGCGCACGTCTCCAGAGAGCTGGACGACGTTGCTGACGCGGCTCTTCGCACCCCGACCACACGCGCCCGGCGGGCAGAGCTTGCCCTTCCAGCCCCCGCGGCTCGGGAGCTGTGTTTTCGGGGATTTTTCGGAGATCCCTGCGCACCACCTTTCCCGGCCCTCCAAGCCAAACCTTGCCCCCATCTCCACGGAGGCTACCCTGTATACCTTTTCGCTCCAGGCTATCTCGTTGACCCTGTAGGAGCCTCCTGCTTTCGATCGGCTTAACCCTGATCCTAGCCATATCCCCGACCTTAATTTCCGGGCAGGTCACCTCGTGTTTGGCCCTGCGCTCGATGTTGCGCAGAGCAATCTCGGCCATTTTGGGGGTAGGCGAGGTTCGGCGCCACCTGCGTGGTCGCATGCTTCCTTCCGTTGATTTGGTTCAAGACGTCAGGCAGCATGAGGTGCCACTGGCTCCGCCGGCCCGCTCCGGCTGCTATGCGACGCAACATGGCCTCCTTGATGGTGCGGATGGTGCGCTCTGCGAAGTAGGCTTCTCGATGTCCCAGAAATTCATCAGCTCCTTGAACTCCCTCTTGAACTCGGAGCCGTCGTCGGAGTACACGTTGGCCGGCGCCCCCAGGGCTTGGAACACCTTCTTCACGCCCGCCGCGGTGGTGGTCGCAAGACGGTCCTTCAGCGGCTCCGCGGCCACTTTTTTGGTCAGCGCATCGATGGCCACCAGCATGAAGGGGTAGGGCTTGCCCCCGAAGGCCTTCATGCCAGCTGGTTCACGGGCTCCAGTTTCTGCGGCCGGTCCTGGTTCACCCGGAGGCCGTCCAGAAACGCTGTCTGGGGTCGCGCGCCTGAGCCTGCTGCAGCGTCTGCGCTATGCTGCCGAAGCCGGTGCGGGGATCCTCGTAGACGGCCTTGATGGTTCGTCTGCGGGCGTCAGCCATGTTTCTTATGGGTCCTTCGGCCCGCTGGGCCTGCCCCCAGCCGGGCCTGGAAGCCCTTGCACACCCCCCAGAGCACGCTGGTGAGGTGCGAGTAGTCGAGCGTGATCATCTCGGTGCCGTCGCTCCACCGGGCGGTCCCCGTCAGGTTCTTCCACTTTGCTCCTGAGAAGTCGTTCGAGGCGAAGCCCAGCCTCAGGTCGCCGTTCATGTCGGGGCGCTTGTGCTGCTTGGCCTCGTGGAGCGGCACCTTCATGGGGCCAGGATAGGACTCCCGTTGCCAGGGGCGGCGGTACCACCGCCAGAGTTTCCGGGCCCTTGCCCATCTTGTCGATCCACTTGGAGGGCTTCCCGGCGTTCTTCTCCTGGTCGTCCTCCGGGCTCCGACTCTGCGCCCAGGCCGCCAGTCTTCTCAGGTCCTCGGACGCATTTCCGTTCTTCTCCGTCTCTGCCACGGCCCACACCAGGTACTCCACCGGGATCTCGCGATACATCCAACCGCGGTAGCGTCCAACACCGCCAAGGCGGGCCCCGCCATCTCCCGAAGTCGCAGCAGAAGCCAACCCCGGGTGGCCTTCTCCGGTACCTCGACGCCCACCTTCGCGGCTTCGGCCCTCATGAGGGCCGAGGTACCGGAGAAGGCCACCCGGGGTTGGCTTCTGTGCAGCTCGGTCAGATTCATCTTGGCCGTCTGCTTCAGAGAGCTCGCAGTCTCCTTGGCCGGCTTGTTCTCCACCACCAGCTGGCGTAGCTCCGGCACCGTCCAGGATTGGTGGAAAGGTATGCCCATGTCCTCCAGCGTCTTCATCAAGTCTTCCTTTCGCATCTTCCATGGCGGGCATGGAGGACATTGGGCTCCGAATTGGTGAGCTCCGAGGGGCTGGGCATCCTCTGAGGTCGTGTAAATGAGCTGCGGCCGATCCATAAGTTCTGAGATGATTCACGCGTTGGTGCTCCCGATTGCCAATCATACGTGACGGTCTGAGAAGGCCCAGCTTGGACAGACTTGGCAAAGGGGTCCCAAGGATTCTATCAACTTCTTCTTCAGAGCGCTCTGGTCGGTCTTCCAATCACGGATACGGGGGTCGAGCCAGGTCCTTCTGGGGGTCACGTGTACTCGTATCATCTCTCTCTAGTCTCAACCCAGAAGTCCCTCCCGATCTTGTTGTGCCTCCACCATGACAAGAAGGTTTCCTTGGGCAAGGCGTCCGACCCACTCAAGAAATTCTGAACCACCAGGGGGACCTTCTTCGGATAGAACAGCTTCGGGAAATCCTTCTCGCCCTCATCAACGAAAACAGTGTACACTCGCGTGGTGCTCTGTAGCAGTGCCACCTCCTGATGGTCAGGAAGGCTATCAAAAAGCTCCTCGGTCGGGATGTAATCCCCGAGCTGGTGTACAGGGATCGTCGGGTGTCCCGTGGCTGTGAGGCCGAGCTCGATCCCGGCAATCCCAAGCGACAAGAAATCGGCTCGGTGGCCCTGAACATCTAAAACGGTTCCTAGTTGGGCTAAGGCGGTCCTGCTCAAAAGAAGGGGAACCCGGCCACCAGTGCAGTTCACGATGGAGACTTTCACCAAAAAGTTCTTGCTTTCCAGGCCCAAGACCGCCCACACGGCGAAACTCGACTGATGGGGCCGGTGCTCCAAACCGGAACGTCTCCGACTGATCCACCGTGTAGATCGGTAGGCTGTTGGCCTCCGCGAACTGTGGAACCAGTCGTAGCCCGCTACACTCCGGCTGCATGCCGTGTCCATG